AAAGCAACATTCACTTCCGGAACAATTAAGCAAGCAGCATTCAATTTATCAAACAGTAGTTAAATATTATATATACACAATTGGTCAAATTCACATTATAGCGAATTAGTAGCAAATAATATCAGTATAGTTTACCAAATCTTGACAAATAATAATGATACAAATATACTGTACATACACAAGCACATCTAGCAACAAATACAAGTGACATGCGATGAATTAGCATAATTTAACATAAATTTAACCGCTGTGAGAACTCTTATTATTGGGTGGGTTGGGTGGGTTTTTCAAGACAAATAAAAAACGATCCTGTCATCTCGGGATCTTAAAAGAGATTGAAGAAAATTTTAAGGGACGCTAACTCAAAACCACCTGATAAGACTGACCAATGGGAGCCATATGCAGATGAGAGAGGTGACCCCCACGGACTGGTCAAGCTCGGGCCAGTGAACAGAAATTCCCGAGTCTGTGAACAGATTTCACTCTAGTGTTACACCACCCTATAATTTGTCAACACAACACACATTATAACATATATATACAGAGTTGTAATTAACCATTTTGGAACAAAATATACAAATTATCTATAGAAGTATTCATAATGGAGATGACAAACTTGTCTATTAAGGTCTGGTCAATAGAGATCACACACCTGTCTATATAGGTGTGGTAAATAGAGATCACACCTGTCTATATAGGTCTGGTTAATAGATATCACACTTATGTCTATATAGGTCTGGTTAATAGAGATCACACACCTGTCTATATATGTCTGGCTAATAGAGATCACACCTGTCTATAAAGGTCTGGTTAATAGAGACCACACACCTGTCTATAAAGGACTGGTTAATAGAGATCACACCTGTCTATAAAGGTCTGGTTAATAGAGATGGCACCTGTCTATAAAGGTCTGGTCAATAGAGACCACACCTGTCTATAAAGGTCTGGTTAATAGATACCACACCTGTCTATAAAGGTCTGGTTAAAATAGACCACACACCTGTCTATATAGGTGTGGTTAATAGAGACCGCACACCTGTCTATAAAGGTCTGGTTAATAGAGACCACACACCTGTCTCTAAAGGTCTGTTTAATAGAGATCACACACCTGTCTATAAAGGTCTGGTCAATAGAGAGCACACCTGTCTATAAAGGTCTTGTTAATAGAGACCACACACCTGTCTCTAAAGGTCTGTTTAATAGAGATCACACACCTGTCTATAAAGGTCCGGTTAATATAGACCACACACCTATCTATATAGGTGTGGTTAATAGAGATCACACACCTGTCTATAAAGGTCTGGTCAATAGAGAGCACACCTGTCTATAAAGGTCTGGTTAATAGAGACCACACACCTGTCTCTAAAGGTCTGTTTAATAGAGATCACACACCTGTCTATAAAGGTCGGTTTAATAGAGATCACACACCTGTCTATAAAGGTCTGGTCAATAGAGACCACACACCTGTCTATATAGGTGTGGTTAATAGAGACCGCACACCTGTCTATAAAGGTCTGGTTAATAGAGATCACACACCTGTTTATTAAGGTTTGGTCAATAGAGACCACACACCTGTCTATTAAGGTTTGGTCAATACAGTAGAGACCACACATCTGCCTATTAAGGTTTGGTCAATACAGTAAAGATCACACACCTGTCTATTAAGGTTTGGATAATAGAGACCACACAGCTGTCTATTAGGTTTGGTCAATAGAGACCATGCACCTGCATGTCTATTAAGGTTTGGTTAATAGAGACCACACACCTGTCTATTAAGGTTTGGTCAATACAGTAGAGATCACACACGTGCACCTGTTTATAAAGGTCTGCTTATAGAGATCACACTCCTGTCTATTAATAAGGTTTTGTCAATAGCGATAATAGAGATAACGCACGGGCACCTGCCTCTAAAGGCATGATTAATTTATATTAAACACCTGTCTATATATAGTTTATAAATACCACATTATCGTCTGTTTTTGTTATTTTCGATATACCTCTGTATGCATCCTACGTAATTTGAAGATTTCCGATTCGTCCGAGTGGTTCCGGAGTAAAGATGGCGGCTTCGGTGGAAGACTGGATGTGTGTGGAACTAGACAAACTAGGTTTACCAGCCTCAGAAGATAATGCAAAGTTTGTTTGATTGACTGAATTCATTTTATGTTACGTTTCGTTTGGATATTGCCATACATAACGATATCACAGAAGCAGAACATTGACCATACGGGAGTCACATGTCCCCGATCTCGGACTGCTTGCCAGCTGGCATGGCCTGTGGTTGTGCAATCTTGCATATTTTCGCTTTCGATATTGCTACCAAACTTTTTGAATTAGCATTTTCCAACTTAAATACGGAAAATATAGTATACATTTTTATTGAAATTTTGAAGATTTATTTCACGTTTTCTTCAGTTGGGGAACATATACTTAAAATAATTAAACAGCCTCTAAATAATGTACAGAATACGTATTGAACGTTTTAGAGTATCCTGTTGAAGTTGAAGTACTTACATAGAACTTCTTTTTGCTCGGGGAAAAGTCTGTATTTGGCTGTAAAACTGGTGGAGCTTTAGGTGAAAATAGCTATATATATTCAAGATCCGATTTTTGATGTGTCTTAATAACATGTGTAACTATTATTTTCAGGTACATTCTCAGTATCGAAACCGCAGAAGACTTGGAGGAGTACATGCATGAATTGCTGGGAGATAGCAATCCTAAAGTGTTAGCATTCATCAAAGAGTTGTTGGTTAGGTGGCGGGCGACAGTAACAGTATCTGATGACACACAGGTAATTTTAAAGCATTCGTCAAGATGTTGTTTGCTTGGAAGTGGATAGCCCTAGTTTCCTCTGGCCCTATCATGTACACCAGACTTAAACATTTTGACAGATAGAATTCTCTGACACCGTTTGGTGTCAGAGAGTTTTGAGTTGCAGACAATTAAAATTGAGTATGACACAACACATACCTCACATATATCGATAAATGGATTATTTATTGATCCAAATACGCTCTTAATATCGCCAACAGCTGCTGAATTCTGCCAGTAGAGTCCTCAATCGGTTTTCAATCGTTTAAAATTTCCCACCTGAGCAAACACCATTTTTGTAGGTCAGGGGAGTGACTAAGCAACAACTTCCGTACTGATCCGGACCAAAAACTGAATACATCATTCTTGTTTAGAAGATTTTTGGACCACCACGTGCACAGAGTGTTAACACACATGAAGGCACTCCCTAAGTGACCTTAGCTGTTCAGAGAATATTAGGCAAAGTAAAAATAAAACAAACCAACCTTCTTTTTTTATCAGGTGTATTAAAAAATGTCAAAAAGATGTGCTTCTAAACTTGACTTCTTAAGCATAACATCTGTCAACTGATGTTGTCACTTTAAAGTGTGACCCAGTACCAGTGTCTGCATTTTATGATCCTGAAATGGCTCTTGCCTTTCTGGTTTGGTGCTCTACCACTGAGCTAAAAGGAAATTCCCTCTAGCTGAAGCTACTGAGGTTGTGACTTGGACACTATGTACAATGTACATCTACACAAGCTAATGTAATAAAGCATTCATCAGGGAGCTGTTGTATATGCATACACAGGTTTGTGTAATTTAGCATATTAGGGAGCTGTTGGTTATGTATGTGTTATACAAATGGTGCAAATTTAACATTCTACACACAGAAAGATGTCTTGGACAGTATTTTGTCAATTATTTCAATTAGGAGGCACAGTAGTCTAGTAGTAGGACACTGGGCTTGTGACCGAAGGGTTGCGATTTCGACTCTTCGACTATCGTCACNCAGTATTGTGTCAATTATTTCAATTAGCAGGCACAGTAGTCTAGTGGTAGGACACTGGGCTTGTGACCGAAGGGTTGCGATTTCGACTCTCGTCACGGCACTGTGTTGTATCTTTGAGCAAAATATTTTACTCTGCTTGTTCCAGTCTACTCAGCTGTAAATGAGTACATGGTGGGGTAGTGCTAGAATTGTAGAATGCTAGCTGTGAGCACCGAAATGTCAGCAATGGCTGTATGCTACCCAGGGAGTTGAGAAAGATATTGGCTGGTTGCAAAGGCCCTATAACCACGGATAATAATTTGTGAACCGCTTTGAGACGACCTACGAACTAGGTTGTGATAACGCGGTAGATAAGAACCTCAAATTATTATTATCATTAATTAGAAGTATATTTTGTTAAACCACAGTGCCTGATGATATTGATTGTGTATACGATGATGTAATTTTAGGTGTATCGTAAGTCAACAGATGATGATATCTACTTTGGTGGCAGAGGTGGAGCAGCAGGCAAACAGAAGACTAGTGACAGGAGTAACAAGCATTCCATCAGTAAAAACGTCATAAATGGCAACAGCAAACACCCTAAAGAGAGCTTACAGGTTTGTTGTCCATCATGCTATTGGCAAAAGCCTTATCAATAGCAGCCCCAAACACCCTAAAGAGAAATTACAGGTTTGTTGTACATCATTCTATTGGCGAAAGCCTTATCAATAGCAGCCCCAAACATCCTAAAGAGAGCTTACAGGTTTGTTGTCCATCATTCCATTGGTGAAAGCCTTATCAATAGCAGCCCCAAACACCCTAAAGAGAGATTACAGGTTTGTTGTCCATCATGCTATTGGCAAAAGCCTTATCAATAGCAGCCCCAAACACCCTAAAGAGAGATTACAGGTTTGTTGTACATCATTCTATTGGCGAAAGCCTTATCAATAGCCGCCCCAAACATCCTAAAGAGAGATTACAGGTTTGTTGTACATCACTCTATTGGGGAAAGCCTTATCAACAGCAGCCTTAAACATCCTAAAGAGAAATTACAGGTTTGGTTGTCCATCATTCTATCGAAAAAAATAAGTTTTTAATAAATGTCATCATTGGTAATTATAACACCCAACCCCTTAAAAAGTTTTTAGGTTTGTTTACCACCATTCTTTTGGTGAAATCTTTTTTAATGGCAATTCCGAAACCATCATTTTTTTTTTTTCAAATTCATCACTGGCAACAGCAACCTCCCTAAAAGAGCTTAAATGTTTATTAACCTTACCATCATCCCGCCAGTAATTAAATAAGCTTATATCAGTGGTATTCACCAAAGAGATTTAAAATGGTTAGTCTACCTCATCAGCAGACAGCTTTGACCTAGTGCATTTTATTTCTTGAATTTGTACTATAACCTTTACAAGAATTAGAAACATTATGACCAAACATTATCATGATCACCAATCTGATATATGAAGAATAGTGCAGGTTATTTTATCCCAGTAGAGTAAATAGTTAGAGTTATCTCCCTTGAACCATATTCAAAACCTGAAAATCAAATGGCTGTATGTATTGTATAGATGTCTCGGAGAAAAAAGTCTGGATGGTCGGTTCTTGTATTCACCTACTCCTTAAGTTTGATCTGAGGATATATTACCTGCTGTAAGTTTTTAGATGGTCGTTTCTAGTGTTAGCTTACTTCTGTAGACGAATCAGACGATATATTACTGGCTGTAAAAAAATCGATTGCAAGTTTTCAAAATGGTTGGTTCTAATACCCTAGTAATCAGAATAGATATGTTATTGAGGTTTTCAATGTCTTTAGTTAAATTTATTGTACTGGTTTTATTCCTACACACAGGATAACACACCTCTTGCCAATGTGGTTGATATGAAAAAGAAGACCAAGTTTGTTCCCTTGTACAGCCAGGAGGGACAGGAGAAATCTGTACTTCAGATTCCAGGTACACACCTCGCTTGGTTTTCTTTTTAGCTCAACTGGTCCGAAGGAGCGATGAGCTTGTGTCATAGCGTGGTGTACATTGTCTGTCATCAATCTGTCAACCTTTTAGGTCACCTGAGACAAAGTCTCAAGTGACCTATTGCGATCGCCTTTTGTCCGTCGTCGTCCGTCCGTAAACAATTTACATTTTCGACTTCTTCTCCAAAACCCCTGAACCAATTTCAATGAAATTTTGCAGGGACCTTCCATAGACAAAGGTCAACAAAAATAGTGGCCGGTTTAGTCCCAAGCCCCCAGAGGCCTGAGGGGCGGGGCCAAAAAGGGTCAAATAGACTAAAATTCCATTGGAAGTAATTCAATTTGGGTTAGCATTATCAGTATTAGGTAGCAGTTTGATAATATGCACATATGAGCCCTGACTGACCCCCAGGGGCTGATGGGTGGGGCCAAAAAGG